AATTTTAAATTTAAGTTCAAATATATAAATAATGATACACCGTTACTGTAGTTGATAAAAATACGAGTAAATAAGGCTTCTACTTTTATTTGAAATTATCCCAAATTGAATGTGATTTATGTGCAACAACGTTTTTGCCTACCGATCGACCCTTACGAATGTGTACTGTAATATGTCGGGTGTAATATGTAAATTCTGTCACATGTTTAATATAAAATAATTGAAACAAATTAATTCATTATGTAACCATTTATATACCAAAATGAACTTAACAAAACATAGATTCTTATGACACTAAAGTTTATTCAAAATGACCTCCGTGATTTTGAATACAGGCCTTCAATCTGCGCGGCCAGTCGTCTATCGCAGCACGAACGAGGTCCATGTCAATATCGGCGGCTGCCTTAATCAAGGATGTCTTGAGTGACTCCAAATTGGGGCTTGATGGATGGCTTGGGGATGAGGCTTTGAGCACGCCTTTTCCTCCAAGTGTTGCCATATCTTGTAATCTAACGGACTCAAATCTGGACTGGTGAAGGGCCAGTCTTCGTGCCGGATGAAGTCGATTTCACGCGCCGCTAGCCAGTCTTGTGTGCTCTTCGTTCTATGAGCTGGCACCGAATCTTGTTGGAATACCCAGTGCCTGTTATTGAACATGGTGTGAGAAACAGGTTCCACAAGGTTCGTCAGAACTGTATTTTGATACACAACTGCATTCGTTTTTACACCTTTCTCACAAAAATGTACCTCTGTTAAGCCCCAATAAGAAACTCCCAACCATACCATGAGGGAGGATGGAAAATGACCTCGTTGGACACGCGAAATACGGTTGCTCGCTTCTTCACTACTGTGTGCGTACACCCTATCATTTTGTTTGCTGTAGCTCTCTTCTACGGTAAAATTTTTTTCATCCGGAAAAAGATATTTTTCCCGCGTACCGCTTCAACAAAGCGCAGCATCTCTTCAGTGTCAGGTCCATTAGACGAGCATTCAAACGATGTCCTGTTTTTCTTCGATATGCCCGAAGCCCTAAGTCTTCATTTAACAACCTTTTCACCGTGGTTCTGCTTAACCCCATCCGAAGGGCCAACAGTTTCTGCTTACGTTTGGGATTTCTTTGAATTCGCGCCTTCATAGCTTTTACCACTGCTGGAGTCCTAACAGACCGAGGGCGACCACTTCTTGACCTGTCATCTACACTAGAGTCTTCATTGTATCGTTTAATGGTACTATAAACGAATCTTTTGGTTATATTCAAATTTTTCAGTATGTCAAAAATTTTAATTGGCTCCTAACCGCAACGATGCAACGTAATAACTGCAACACGGTCTTCTTTAAGCGTCCACTCCATATTTAAAAATGAGTAAAATTCTAAAAAGTATACAGTTTTATTTTCATGAACAATTCGAAATTCGAATTCAATAAACTTTTTTGTGGCCAGCATTCTAATAGAAAAGTTTTTACTGTGTGACAATACTTATGATCTGACTAGACTACCTATAGACTATAAATATCATTGTTCAGAGGTGATAACGCAACTGTAGTAATTTTAGTATTTGTTTCAAATAAGCCGCGTGTAGGTATTTTTATATATAAAAAAAAAAAACTGAATCCATCCTCTTCCTGCATTTCTTAACAGGTCGCCACTCCGTCTAGTATCGGGCCTCCTGAAACCTTTCTTACTCATCACCTTGTATAGTTCACGTACGCCAGCAGTCCGTGTTCGATCTGTTGGCAGTAATGATATTGTAAATTGCAATATTAAGCAGTGATTTTATTTGTTGAGTTTTAGGTGTTACTATCATTAATTTCGCCTTTGACTACCTCTTTGGTCTAGTGGTCGTGGTGCCGGATTCGAATCCCGGGTCGGGTCGAAATCAATACAATCAAAAAATTCTGTTAAAAAGTTGGTGCTGTTACACCCCCGTGCCTTTGTAAAGCACGTAAAGACGTTGATCATGCACCTGATCTCTCTCTGGTCGTGTCGGATTATCGTCTCATCGGAATATTAGAGTGAGGGAATAGAGTAGAGTAGAGAATAGTGCATCATTATCGCACAGATTACCAGCGTAAAATAGCAGCTTAATAAGCTGTGTTTCGTATGGTGAATGTAAAGAACTGGAGACTCTTTTTACTGGAAAGGAGGCATTCCATCTTAGTCCTTAGGGGTGGCAACTCATCTTCATTTCGATTCTTAATCGAGGATAGATGTCGCATCCACTTACCTTCTTTACTTACCACTCTTTATTCTATAAAAAAAAATATTTTACGCAGATTCTGGTAACTGGAGACCCTTTATTCTGGAGTGCCTCGTAACTCAATATTAGTCCAACGCATCTGGATTTTGTTTCTTAATCGAGGATAAATGTAGATGCCACAGCATCCACTTACCATTAGGTGCTCGTTTGTCACCCTATCCTATAAAAAAAAACTGCGACACATCATTTTTATGATTTACTCGGTGTAAATAATAAACATTGAGATGCGTTGTCACCAGTGAGGAAAGCCTCTTTTCGAGTAAAAAGGGTCTCCGGTTCTCTACACCACTCTACACTCACCATACGAAACACAGCAGTGTTAAGTTGCTATTTTACGCTGGTATTCTGTAAGAGCGTGGTTCTTCCCCGGTCGAGCCGACCCATTCGTGCTACAACTATACTACTAATATTATAGCTGCAGAGTGGCTCTACCACGTCGAAATTCCTTAGCTAATTCATTTTTAACATTTTTATTTATATTATTTTGTTAAATTATATCATATAAACAAATTAAAAAAAAACTATTGCATGTTTTGTTTGCACTGCTTTTATTGATCATTGTTCTGTTTCATAGATGTCGCTTAAAGCTATGTTACTTTTATTTCAAGAATAATTCACAGACTGGCAGAGAATGCCTTTAGGCATTAAGTCCATTAAGTTAAGTCCGCCCTTTGTATCCTTATTTTGTCTAAGGGAATGCAATATTTTAAAATAAAAAAAACCGGCCTAGTGCGAGTCGGACTCGCGCACCGAGGGTTCCGAACAAATCCGTAGGTATATTATAAGTTTAAAATTATTAAAAATATTTTTATTATATGATGTAACTAAAACTTTACGCTTTTCGCAATTTTTCCTTTATCTGTGCTATAATACGTTGCTTCGTACCAAATTTTAAGATTCTGAGTTCACGGGAAGTACCCTGTAGGTTTTGATTCCCTTGCGAATGTCGAAAATTGGCGACATAAACGGCTGTATCTTTTGATTGCGTTAGCTTAGAAGTTTGATTTTTTCACAGCTCCAAGGGACAGTAGACTTGAGTATTTCAGCGTGATACCTCTACGCGTTCCTGAGAAAAAGGGTCTTGACAGACAGACAGACAGACCCTAAATATTGATATTACGGCATGGATCATATGTTCCATGGTTAGTTTTTACATGGTAAAACCGCAATGAAGCACGAATCGGTCGGCTCAATATAGAAAGGACCATACTGGTACAGAATACAAGCGAGATATAGCAGCATGTTGGTGCTGTTTCGCAGAGGAGGTAATGATAAACGGAGACTTTTTTTACTGGTAACGAGGCATTCCATCATAATCTTCCGGGGTCACGCATCTCCATTTTGATTTTTAATCGAGGATATAGTATCATGTAAGAATCTATGGACCACAACCACAGCATTCACTTACCAACGGGTGACCTTATCACCCTAATTTGTTTAAAAAAAATGTGACAATCTTTAATAATATGAAAGGGTCTAACCTTTTGGCACAATAATAAAAGTAACTGAACTTCATTGAGTTGATATTTTCCATTGTCAGTGCGGGAGACAAATAAATTTCTGTTCTGAGCGATTGTCATTCGCTATCAATTGCATTGTAAGCCCGCGGCAAAAAAAGTGTTGGTCAACTCAGTTATGTAATAGTGAAAGATTAAAAAAAAATACTTGTCAGTCAATTTAATGATTTATAATTTTCTCTTTTGGCCTAACGTAAGGTTGTTTTTGTTTGCACTATCGAATACTGAGTAAACATTAGTGATGGATGAATCAACATTTCTTGGTAAAAGGAAGCTGTTATACTTTCATTTAAAATTTCTTATAAAATTATTGTATGCATAATGGGTTAATTGCTATTGTCTAAGAAATGATTTATGCAAATAAACGTATAATGCCTTTGTGAAGTCCATTTTGTTAGAGCCATCTATACAGGAATTATGGTAAAGTATAACTTCATTGTATAATTGTAGGTGGCGCTAGTTGCAGCAAAAATTTTCAATGCATCATGGTTGCTGGCGTGCTTTGTTTGAACGAAAGGAACAAAACAAGTTTTATAAAAGAAAACCAGTGAGATTTAACAATGAAACAACTCAAATTTAATGTGGCAGTAAATATATTCAGAAAATATTAACCATGGTCGACTCGATTTCGTCAGTAAAAAAGTATATATAGACACGCTATCAATTAGTAAAAATTACAATATTGTCTTACCAATTTCTATAATTGATCTCTCCTTATTTATAGTTCATTATTGCTTTATACAATATCGTATCGAGTACAACATTCGATAACAAAGACATTACAATAGATAACTATCTAAAACTTAGGAATAAGCCAGCGGCCACTCAATCTACCTTGTACACGTAAACACTTAATTTAGATATAATAATAATTACATATCACAATGAGACGTCCCTTCAACGTTCACTCGCACACAAATAATACAAAAAATTCAAAAACGAAGGCACGAGATCTACCTACATCTACGACTAAGTGTAAACATGCCCTAAAATGTTATTCTAAATGCTCGCGCGACGGCGCGCCTCAGTCGAGTTGCGTTTGGAAGTTACCAACTAACATAATTTCGTATCAGCGTTAAAGTTTTAAAGCGGTCCTTGAATACAATGACTGGCCCGGTGAGGTCGTGCCCCGCGCGGGCCATAGGAAATGGAATGTCGGCATGCAGGCGCTTTGGCCCTTGTGCGCCGGCCCAGCACGACACCACGCACTACACCACGGCGCCGGCTACACTGTGTCCTTGCCCTCGAACTTATCAGCCAGATCGGCCATTAGCTCTTTATAGATCAATGGGTCGATGTTTTTTCCAAGTTGGTAAAGAACAAACCAGTCGCCAATTTGCAGTTTACGAGCAACTGCCTCGACTTGTTCCTGGGGTGCAAGACGGCTACGTGCGCGAAGCAGGTACAACCGCACGCGCGGTCCCGCCACGACAGCTGCTCGGTAAATCAAAGAAATTGCGCTTAGGATCGACAGTATCACGAACCAAAACCATAGGAACACGTAGATCTTTTCGTTCACAATATTCAGAGGCAACACGCACAAGCCGTCGAACTTCTGCACGGTTCCTGACGGACCGTATTTGTGGAAGGTGCACTTTGTCACTTTAGGAAACACACGCGCCATCGGGTCTTCGCGTTCTTCTGGTTCCATCTCGGTAAAGCGTACTACGTCTCTGCCGTACGTGGAGAATTCGCCGTCAAGGAAGAAATCCATGAAATATATTTGACCTACCACGTTGATAAAATTCAACACTTCGCAGATAAAGAAACGGAATGCGTAAAAGTTTTGTGTGTGCAAATTTGTGTAAAAATAGTCAACAAGAAGTTTCTTACGGTCCTTTTTACACTCTTCTCCGACCACAGGACAGTTAAGATCTAGCACAAGCATCTTGACGCGGCCGCCTTCCCAAGTTTTCCATAAATATCGCGGCACATAGAACAGAATAGCTTGGAAGAATAGCACAAAACACACCCACTGGTAATATTTGTGATATTTAACCTCGTCCTGACCGTCGACGTGCGATGCCACGCCGGGTTGCACCATATCTTTGCCGACTCGACCCACGAGCCGGTTAGGTATTGTGAAAGTAGAGTAGATCCAGCAGTAGGTGTCCATAACGGCGTACGGAATCTCGTCTACGATGCAGTCGATAGGATCGCCGATGTACTGCCGCGAAGTAACGAGTAGCGAAAAGGCGATCAGGATGATCACGGTGGCCTTGTAGTGCAGGCGGAACACATTGTTGTCAATGCACACAGAGTCGAGCTTGAGAAGCCCCTTTACGGAGCCAAAAACGTCAAACATGGCGGTGTAGCTAGCCGCGGGCGCGCGGCGCGTCGGTCGCGGTCGTTAGAGGATCGGGCGAGCGCTTCGCCCTCGCGTCGAGTGCGGAATGCTCGCGGGGCGAGGCCCGACGAGGGGGGCCGTGGCCGCGGTGTGCGGTGCACTCCCCCCACTTGCACCCCTTCCCCTCCCTTTATGCCATCGCATCGCAGTCTCCGTGCCTCGGATCAACGACACAGCACTGACCCTATTTCTACCTATATTCGTGGCGTCATCTGGTAGCCGTCGCCGCCAGCGGCTACGTCTCAAAACAAGCATTGGAATTACGGGTGGCAAATGCTACAATTAAATGGACACTTATCTATTGATTGCATCATTTAACAGTTCGGCGGTGAAAAGTTAATGTATCTCGCAACGGCTGACTTTGGCTCAATCACGACATGAATGTTATTTCTGACGCACAATTCTAATTTACCACGTGCTATCGCCTATTTAGATAAAAACTATGTAATCTAAAGTAGGTCATACTAAGAAGTAAATGTTGACTGACAAACGCATATTTAGCAAATTTTTATAAAATATAAAACCTTTTTGACTTAAACATGATGTGCTTCACAGCTTAAAAAACAATAGCGATAATGCGGTACGTTGTACATAAAGCACTGCTCCAAGGGGTAGAGCAGGTAACAGAGTCATAAATAGCATCTATCCTACGGTTATTGTTCCACAAAGAGCATTTGTTAATATTTGTTTATTATTAAACGAGCTGGCTGAAGTTATAAAACTTGACATCAATAAGGTCAGAACCGCTCTGAACTTCATGACGAAACGATTATGTAATATGGCTGGCAGATTTGATTTGGGTGAGATACAGTAAATTTTGGCTCTCAATATTTGTTAGTGAGAAGTGAGGGTAAAGGTTGAAAAGTAAATCTGACATATGGGTAACATTCAATAAAATAGCTTTTGCTTTTGTCAATAATCAGGACATTAAGAAAGCACGAACCATTCATGTTTTATAATAGCTTAAAATCGTTTGTATTGAATACTTGAATAACAACAGACACTAAAGTACATTCGACCTCAAATGTCAATTTCATAACTTTATTAGCACTTCGAAGTACTCTGTGATTAGCATATCCATCCAGTATTTACATTTTATGATTAATATTTAGAACACATTTTGCTGTAGGTAATCATAGAATAATATTGGTTTTGAACAAGCTGTACCCTTGTCACTAGAAGTCCATGTCAAAACTTTTTAATTTAAAATCAAATAAAATGACGGCTTAGTTTGCCCTAAAATCAGTATTAAAAACAGGGCAAGACTTAGATCAAAAGATTATGCAATTTTAGCTTGCCTATTTTTTATTGACATGATTTAGTATATTACATCATATTAATACACAGATAAACTGTTTATTAATATGTTGTAATTTATAGCCAGCATTTAGAACAAATTAATAACATTAATTTACATCTTATCTGCTTCTTTGTCTACATTTAACAAAAGAATTTCTAAATCTGGATTTAAATCATAAATAGTTATGTGATGTACCTATTTCTACTTTGATAAGAAGGAAAGGTCAATAATTTCTCAACATTTCGTAATAAAATTAGTTCGTTATAAATGTTTTATGATGCCACAGTTAAAAAACTGATGCAAATAATGATAGTATTAAAAGAAATTGGAGTTGGATGGATTACGAAATTATGTTGAACAGCAACTTTTTCTTTTCATCAGAATATTTCTAGAAAGTTTAGAAATATTCTGGACCGAATCTCATTACGAAATGGCGTCAGTCATTCTTGATAGACGTTAATGGAGGATACAGACAGTAACATTAAGTAAATGTCTATTGTTAGCAGTGGTGTGTCGTGAACTGATTGTTTATTTTAATTTTGTCGGTGAAAGTTTTCAACATTTCCTTCAAAATTGGAAGAATCCAAGTGATATTAAATCAATTTGATTTTTTAATGAAGATTCAGCATCGATCACAATATTTTGTCGTTCGTACAGGAGTACGCGGATATCTCCTTGTCATAAGTAAAAATATGAGCCATCAGTTGGTACAAAGTCCACCTCATATTAAAAGGATATTTTATATATATAAAATAAAATATACACATATTTTATTTTAAAATAAAATATATCTGCTAGAAAACTACGGCCTAATTTTTTTAATTAAATAGGGGTGACAAACGAGCACACTGACTACCGAACGATAAGTGTATGCTGTGTCTCATAGATATCTACAGCTATCCTCGATTAAGGATCAAAAATGTAGATGCATTGTTACCGCTATCAAGATAGAATGCCAATAAAAAGGGTCTTCGGTTCTTTACACTCACCATATGAAACACAGCAGCGATAGGCTGCTATTTACGTTGGTATTCTGTGAAAGTATGGCCTTACCCGGTCAAGCTGACCCATTCGTGCTAGTTCTACCAACTTTGATATAGCTGTAGCTTGGCTCTATCACGTCTATAAATTTTAATTAGGTACATAATTTTTTAGAAGGCCATAGGAAGAAAGTTTTAAAGGAAGTACTTTGTGCAAAGCCCAGAGTAGTGGCTTAAACGACATCTAAACTAACTGCCGAGGCCCAACTGCCTTCGCCCATCTGTAAGCCAGACAAGAAAATCAACTGAGGGACTACGACGGAAACCGTACTGACGGTCACTTATCACGTGATCTTCCTCTAGGTACCTCTTGAGTTGGCAGTTTATAAAACTCTATTATTTTGGAGAACAAGGAAGCGACAGGCGTGCGAATGGACAGATCTAAGTTGTCGCTTTGATCGGGAGTACTAGAGCTTTATTAATAAACCCATAAATATAAAAACATACTAGTTACGGATGAGTCAACCTGGCTATATAATCTTCCTTGAACAAAATAAAAAAGTGTTAGTTATGACGTCTGTGAACCAAAGCGGTCGTGGGAACTCCTCACAAACAGTCGTATGCATTGTACGGAAGTAAGGCTAACACATCCTGGGTACAGTTTAAAAATATACCACAAGAATAAAGCATAATATTATGTGATTTAGGCAGGTTGTTCAATGATCAGACAAAATTACTCTTAGAATAAAATGCAACATAAAGATTACGTAAACATAAAGATTACAGTTGCATAAACAAAATAAATGATAACGGTTGCAAAATTTGCTTTTAAAATAATACCATTATTATTTTAGCAGCTATTCGACAATATCAAAATATTTTATAATCTGTTTTTAAGTCGGTCAGTCATATAGTCAGTCAGTCGCAACGCAAATCGCGGAGCAACCGTCCATTTGCTTGTGATTTGTAGCGTTTTTGTAACATTTTTGTACCTACGCTAATATGGATCCTAAAAAGCGTAAAGAGAATAGTGAAAATAGAGAGTTTCCGGCAAAATGGACTGAACAATATTGTTTTACGCTGCCTGAAAGGTCTTAGGCGGTTCCAGTGTGCCTTATCTATACAAATAAATAAAACTGAAGTGTCTGTTTGTAATGTCAAAATAACAGCTTTTTACTAAATGCATATGAAAGTATATACGGTACTTATAATAAAAACACAACTTTTAACATTTTTGTTTGCCTGCCTGTCTGTTTGTTCCGACTACTCTCCGAAACGGCTGGACCGATTTTGATGGGACTTTTACTGGCAGATAGGTGATGTTATAAGGAGTAACTTAGGCTACTTATATTTTAGAAAATAATAAGGGTCTCGCGCAACATAGTTAAAACCCTAAATTACACGCGGGCTAATTCGCGGGGAATAGCTAGTATGCAAAAAAAAAAAACTGTCGCTATTATTAAGAGTGGCGATTAGAAGCGACACTACGAAACGACTCATCAGCAATTTCACAAAAATTTTCCTTTTGGCACTGTGGCTCATAAAGAAAAACTTCAGACATATTATGTCAGTTCTTACAAAAAAAGCACGAAATTATTAGTTCGTTGCATGAGCGACCAAGAAAAATCCACAGAAGCAGCGTTTCTTGTGTGCTGGACGCATAATAAACACAAGACACCATTTTCAGATTCTGAGATAGTGAAGGAATGTATGTTGGAAGTAGTCACGGCACTTTTTGAAGAAAAAAAAAGATGTTGTAGCTGAAATTCAAAGTATTCCATTGTCAGCGAGAAGTAATACACGAAGAACGGACATTTTTAGCTGCTGATATTAAAACACTCTTCTTGAACTTCGGAACTTTCTTGAACCTTACTACACCATAGCACTTGATGAATCATGTGACATTGTTGATGATGAACAAATGTCTATTTTCGTAAGATTTCTTGACATTGAGTGTCAGATTTTTAGGGAAGAGTTGCGAGTAATTTTGCCGTTGAAAGGCAACACTCGAGGAGAAGATTTATTCAAGGTCATCGATGAATTTATTACTAAATCTAACATTAGTTATGGTAAAATGGTGTCGATTTCAACTGACGAGGCCCCGACAATGATTGGCAAAGAAAAAGTTGTAGTAAAGAAAATCAGGGATAAAAACTCAGGTCTGATGTCGTATCAGCATAATTCACCAGGCAGCCCTGTGGAAAACTTAGTACTACACTGAAAGAAGTGATGGCCAGCTTGGTCAAGTTGATTAATTTTATGAGATCACATTCTGCTCTTCAGCAGCGACGTTTCAAGGAGTTTCTTTCTCAATATGATTCAGCGTATTCTGACTTACTGAAACACAACAATGTTTGTTGGCTAAGTAAAGGTCAAGTTATTGAACGTTTCTTGCTAATAAAAGAACAAGTAACCTCCTTCTTGCGTTCTTAGATACGCAGGAAGCCAGAAAGCACTTTGAGTTCATAACAAACAAGCGCAATATGCTGCTTGTGGCTTTTCTAAAAGACATTTTGATTATATTTAAATGCGCTCAACACTTAGTTACAAGGAAATGGAAAATCAATATGTGATCTGATACAAAGCGTGTCTGCTTTTCATCGCAAACTGGATATCTTTGAAAAAGATATTGCAAGACAAGAATTTATTTATTTTCCGACGTTTCTTGAATATAAAAA